CCAAAACCCCTTAATACTTAAATTTTGCCATATTTGTTTAAATAATTTTATCATATTTAATATTAGCTTGAAATTTCTTGAATTAATATTTTAATATAAATCTCTTTGTACTATCCCTCATTATTTAAGCACTTTCATTTCAATGACTGGCTTCTTAAACATAAAAGAATCATATTGGGGTTTTTTAATCAAATGCTCAGGATCAACAAATTCAAATTTATTGCCACTAAGAAGCAAGGGAACTATTACTTTAAATGCATAATCTGTAAAAGTTCTTCCAAGGCATGCTCTCTTTCCTGCTGAGAATGGAATAAAAGTCATAGGATGTCTAGGTTAACCAGCTGGAGTAAGATAGTATTTTGAGGACCTATCAAATCTCTCTGGAATATACTTTTCATCTTCAATCCATTAATCTGAGTTGTGATGGATCTAGTGGATGTTAATTATAATCATATCATCTTTTTATATCTTCAATCCGTTAATCTCTTGATCTTCATTTAGTGAGCAACTTGAACTCACAGGAATTGGATTTTCTAATCTGAGGGTCTCATAGTAACAATTCTTAAAATATTCAAGATCCTCAACTTTCTCCATACTAAGTTCAGAAGTTAGTGCTTTTAAGTCTCCACCAAAGTTTTTGAGATTGCTGCATAGCTCTTACTTAAGCTTTAGTTCTGACCCCTTATTTAAGGATATGAAGCATAGGAAATTTGTTATGGAGACAGCAACTGTTTGAGATCCTGCTGCAAGAAGTCCCAAACACTCATCTATTATCATTTTATCATTTCGCTAGAAAAGCTAATCATGTAGTAGTAGTCCTAATAGATCTTCAGTATTTAGATCAGTTCCTTCTGATATCAGCTTTCTTTTATCATCAATCACTTTTTATACATAATTTGCCACTTGTTTCATATTGAATTCCAGCTCTTTATCGAATTAAGTAAAGTAGAAATCTATTAGCTCTGGGAAGAGTAAATTATGCAACTAAAGTTCGCGTTCAAATCCTCTGCTAATACTTTTCATTAAACTTACACCTAAATTAATTTCAATGATTTTTCCGTTTTCTTTGTACTGCACTATAGGATTCTCATTTTATCTGCCAAAAAGACAGGCCAGTACATTCTTCATCATCATATTTGAAATCTCTTTGACGATATCAATTTATCCTCTCTATTGCCACTCTTAATTAGTTTCTAGAGCGATTTATTTCATTGTTTCAACCATTTAAATAAGCTTTTATTTGTAAAGAGATACAGAAAGTATTTTTCTTTTCTAAGCCCAAAGATCATTTGATTTCATAAAGAGAATACTATCTCCCAATACTTTTTTCAATATTTTTTATGCTATTGGATGTCTGTCAATGAATTTATTCTTTGTAACTAGCAAATCTTAAAGTGGTTCATGTCTATTAATATACAGGTTGAACTCATTTGAAGCGATAAAACCTGTATATGCTGGAGCTTTTTTACCAAAGCAATGAATGATGTAATCTACGTTGGGAAAATTTTTCGGATTGTATTTTTCCATAAATTTCATCAATCCTAAGTAACTTCCCAGAAAAGGTACAAAGCTATGAAATTTAACTCCTTATTTCTCATAGTATCTTATTTTCAATATAACTTTTATATATCTATTCCATGCCAGATATGAAATGAGAAGAACAAGAAGAGAGTAAATAAGAATCATTCTAAAAAGAGATAATTTAAATATATTAACTGTATGCTAATATTTACTTTTATAAAACGAATGATACTTTTCAGAGAATTAAAGTTCTATCAATTTAATTAAATATAAGCAATTTATATGATGAGATTATCTTGAGATTTTAAAAAATTAGCCTTGAGGGGTTTTGGGGTTTTGGGGTTTTGGGG